AGACTGGGCACACTGGGACCCTGTCCTCATCCAGCCAGTCCCAGTTGCCCAGTACCCCTCGGCTCTGCCGTCTGCTGCTCTTTGGGTGCTGCTTCAGGGGGTGTCAGGCAGGTTCCCCATGGGCCCCAGACCCTGCTCTGCTGGAGCTCCTGCAGGATGGGGTTCTCAGGCCCCAGGTCCTTCAGCCCTTGCTGCTGGATGGTTGTGAGGTGCCAGGGCTGCTGTCACCGCTGGGTGACACCCGTGGGTGAGAGGGGAGAGACTGTGGGGCTGGACACTGGCACCTGGGACTGTTGTCCCTGCCCATCCCGATGGGATGCAGGACTGAGGTGACCTTGACGCTCCTCCCGGTGGGGTCAGGGCTTGGCCAGAGTTTTTCCTTTTCTCACTGTCAGTTAAAGGAGAGTCAGGAAACCCATTCGGTTTCCCGGGATCAAGATCCCAGCGACAGTTCCCACACATTGCACCGGGTCAGTCTTGTGTCCTCCACCATCCCAGTGCTAGACTGGGCTGGGGGACCCCCTCATCCTCCACTGAGCACGGGACCCCTTCCCCATGCCGTGCTGCTGACAGGGGCTGGTAGATCTTGGCACGAGTCCTGCTGGCACAGGGGGCCTGGGGGCTACAGAGCTCTTCAGCTACCCAGAGCTGGTCGGGAACGGGTCCCCTCTCCGGCTCTGTGTGTGTGCCTGGGAAAGAATGCCCAGCACTGGATGGCAGGGCTGGCAGCCTTCAAACAGGCAGAGATGGTCCCTGGGTGGGGGGCTGCCACCTCCGGCTGCCTTTGGTGGCACTGGCACCATTGTCCTCAGACCCCGGGCATGGTGCAGCGGGGTCATGTGCGGGCACAGCCAGGGCGTGCAGCCCTGGGCGGGCGCTGGGAGCCCTGCCCGCCCTGGCACATGCTAATTGCATGTAATGGGGAGAGCAGTATCAGCTCAAATCCGTAATTAGGCAGCTCCATTGTCATGCAAACCCGCCTAATTCATTCACAAGCAGCACTCGCTTCATCAGCGCCCAGACGCTGCCAGGCGCTCACCGGGAGACAGGCACCTCCACCCAGCCTCCCCCGTGGCACACGTGGGCCACACGCCTGAGGGACCCGGACAATGGCCAGCTCGTGGGGACACGCCAGAAAATTGGGGACACGGTCCAAGGTAGGGAGGGGGCACCCCCGGGGACACGGTGCCCATTGGAGCGTGGAGGCCGTGTTGGCATCTTGTGCCCACAGTCGCATCGTCCCCAGTGCTCAGCACGCGCCAGGCTGGCCAGGAGCCGGGTCCTGCTGCCCAGCGTTGGCATCCGACCCTGCTGGCTCTCTGCCCAGCCGGGGCTGGCGCTGGCACCCGCCTGGCGTTACTGTGGCACTGTGTGGGGTGGAGGGGTGGGCGCAAGGGAAGTGTTTGCCGATGTCCTGATGCCCCAGGTGAGGGTCAGAGCAGCTGGGCAGAGCTGTGGCCCATGGCTCGGGGGGTCTCCCAGAGACAGCACCAGCTGATCGTGCCTCAGAGCCAGCCTCTCTCAGCAGCATGGTCCCAGCTCAAAGCCTCAGACGAGCTTTTTGATTGTGGCGATTTGTGCCAGTTCCCTTCTCTGCACCCTGCAGAGAGCAAAGTGCCAGCGACGGGGACCCCTGCGTGCAGGGTTGGCACCCCCAGGCTCCCCTGGGAACACATGGGTACCCTCTGCCCTCCCCTGATGCCCACCCTTCCCTCGTTAAGGCCGGAGCAATCAGCAGCAATTATGGCTTTAATTACCTGATGCTGGGGCGCAGAGTACCAGCAAAGTGTGAGGAAATCTTTCATGTTAATGGTGTGCCAGGCCTGGCACGGACACGATGGATGGGGCACCAGCTGGGAGCAAATCTGCCGGCTGCAAAGCCCACGGGGATCGGGGAGAGCCACCGAGGGGCACAGTGGTGGAGGCAGGTGCTGGCATTGAGGTCCCCACGCTGCTGTGGGGACCCGCAGAGTGGCAGCAGCAGTGAGGGGAGCATGGAGAGGGCGGGGGCAGAGGGAGGATGGGGTGGGATGCCCCATCGGGGGCGGCTGACGTGGTGGGCAGCAGCGTTCAGACAGATCCATGCCATTGTGGCACTGCCAGCAGCTACCTGCTCCCTCCCAGGGGCAGCTGTGCCGCGTGGGCACCCACGGGCCGTGCTGGGGCTGGCGCTGCCGCAGCCACCGGCGGGCAGCCTCTCCTCGCCAAGAGCACGCTGACCTTCTCAGTGTCTCCCCGCGGCAGGCACAGAGGCACCCACCAGGCTGCTCCCGGCACCACTGGGGACTTCGGCACTGTCACCCAGGCAGGATCAGCCCCTTGAGGACCAGAGGGACCATACTGGGGCACCCACCGGAGCCTGGTGTGTTCTATCAGTGTCCCCCCACCCCACCAGCCCCCAAAATGAGCAGTGCAGTGTCCTGTGGTCTCTCTTTGACCATAACATCAGTACACCTGGTGTTTCTGCTGCTGGGGAGCCCAGGTGCTCCTGTGAGAGGCTGTGTGACCACCTGGAGTGGCAGGAAACAGGGGGAGCTTTGGACATGGGGGGCAGGAGCAGCTGGGGGTCCCACAGTGCTGTGACGAAGGCAGGGGCGGGTTCCCAGAGCTCAGAGCGGGGTGTCCCCCTCCCCTCTGCACCCTGAGCTGGGTGTGTCAGACTTGTTCCCCAGCCCACCACCCTTCCCCTCCATCAAGCACCACTCGTTAGCCCACGTGTTGGGGGGATAATTGATATTAAAACCCTGCTTAATGCACCGACTTTACTGGCTCAGATTTATCGGCGCTGGAGCAAACCGCGCTCCCAGTCACTCCTTCGGCTGCAGGGAGCACGGCCGAGGCTGTGCCCTGCCAGGGTGAGGGAGGGGCGAGGGGTGTGTGGATCCCAGCGCCCCCCACCCCACCCCACCCCACCCCGGCGGCTTGTTCGCCGTCCCCGCCGAAGTTCCGCGGTTCCCTTTGCCAAGGTGACATAAGCATCTCTCCTGTTTCCATGGCAGCGCAGCGGCAGGTGAGCGCCGGGCGGGCGCGGGAGCCGGCACACGCCACGCGGGGGACCGCTGCCCACGGGGCGCCCACGCTGCGCCCGCACCCACGGTGGGGGGGGACACCCACAGGACGCGGGGGACCCGCAGTGCGTGGGGGTGGCTGCAGAGTGCGGGGCACCGGTGGGGTGCAGGGCGCCTGTGCTGTGGGATGTGTCTGTGGTGTGGGAGATGCCCACGCTGTGAAGAATGGCTGCGGAGTGGAGGGCTCCACAGGACACGGGGGGCCCGAAGTGCGTGGAGTGGTTGAAGAGCGTGGGGTGCCCATAGGATCTGAGGTGCCCACAGAGCATGTGGCATCCACAGCGTATGAGATGCCGAGGTGTTTGGCATAACTGTGACGCGTGGGGTGGCCGTGGGCCATTAGGTGGTCAGAGGGTGCGTGGGGTGCTCGTAGAGCGTGCAGAGCCCACGGTGTGTAGGGTCGTCATGAAGGGGGTGCCTGTGGTGCATGGGGCACCCAGACCACAGTTCCCCTGCTCCCTCACAGGGCTCCAGGTTAGCTCCAGCCTCCTGGCTGTGCCCCATGGTTCCATCCATGCCCACACCACAGCACAGAGCCTCACCAGTGCCTGGCCCAGTGCTCAGCAGCAGGACAGCCAGGGCTGGCTCTGCCACTCACTGCACATCCCCAGCTCTGTTTGCTGTCCGTTCTCCCCCCGCTCTGCCCACAATGCACCCAGCACCCCGCTTGGGTGGGCAGCTGCGGGGGCTCCATACCCATCCTGCCTCCTCCATGCCTTGCTGCTGGTCCCAGGCTTCCTGCGCCCCTCCACTCAGCCGTGATGGATAGACACGCAGCTCGGCAATCGCTGTACTCATTTCACGTGTGATTAAAAAGCTGGTCCCGCAGCACAGTTCACCCGGCGCGTCTGCTACAGCCGCCCGGGCGGGAGGCAGCCGCGATGCTGTGCAGCAGCAAACATGGCATTTCATAAATAAATTGGGTTTATTTACCCAGAGCCCACATGCCAGCATGCGTAGTGCAGTGTGGGCACCCGGAGTGCCCGAGCAGCAGGCACAGCGGTGGGACCCGCGGGTGATGCGGCGAGCTGTGCCGCAGCCGGCGCGGGGACAGCCCCGCACCGGGGACCGCAGCGCCTGTCCGAGCCGTGACCCCCGGGCCGGCCCCAGGCTGCGGCTGGGGGGGGGGGGGTCGTTAAACCAGTGAAATATGAGACGCCAGTATATCCCCGACAGGAGTTTTAATTAAATTAATTGCCAGTGACATTGTAAAAGTGCTGATGGGGTAATAACCGGCGCGTTATGGTCGCCGTTTATCTTCCCCGCGTAAATTAGCTGCCGCACCTTGCCCGTCCCGGGGGGCATCGCGGTGGGCTCCTCGGCACCCGCTGCCCGGCTCCGAGGGGCCCGAGCCAGCTGGGGGGAGCGGCAGGGCTTGGAGCCTCCCTGGGGGTTCAGGCAGGGCCCAAGGGACCCGCGTGTCGCTCGCGTTCCCGTCACGCAGGCGGCCGTGCCGGGCGGGAGCCAGCCGGGGTGGGCACAGGCAGTGGGGTCCCACGGGCACATGGGGAGTGGCTGGTGGTTGCCAAACGAAGGTACTTAATTACTGCGCATTCCATCCCATTTAATTGCTTATTAAATCCTAACCAGCCAATTAGCAGCAGCAATTACAGCTTCATTCAGTGACACAATCGCTATTTTATCGTTTGTTAATCAAATGCTTATTTAGGGCCCTGGTTTATTAACTCTTTCCACAGCAGACACTGATGGGTGGGGGCAGAAGAGACACCTGGCCTTGTCTGGGTTGGGGCATGTGGATACTGTGGGACTGTGCCATGTGTCATGTCCCCAGCACTACTGTCCCCCTGGGTGTCTGTGTGTCCAGCACTGAGCCATCCTCACCACCCTGGGGACAGCCAGCCCCCACATGGGTATCAGTGACACAGGACAGGGCGCACTGCTTTGCTACCCTGCCGTGTCACCACGGCTTGTCCAGCATCCCTGTGCCACTCTGGGGTGCAGCAGGGCAGGATGTGGCCCCTGGTCAGTGCCTCTCAGTGTGCTGGAGAAGGGGGTGGCAGGCGCCCTGGAGGCGTGAGCAATGGCCCTTGTTGGTCACACTACATTTCCTTTTCATTAGTGCTAAGTGTGGACATGAGGGATCGGCAAGGGTTCAGCGGGCGCAGCCACTGTGTGGCTGCTTTCCCTGATGGATGGCAGGGTGGGAGAGGGCTGCTGCACTGCTGGTGGAAGGGACAGTGGGGAGGCACAGGGCCACTAGCATGGGGCTGTCTGGCGTGGGTGATGTCCCAGCCAGGGCACGTGGAGGTGGCCGAGCCCCATCTCCCCACAGGTGCTCAGCAAAGCGCGACCGTGGCCAACCCAGCATCTGGCGCATCCTCGGACCTGCTGCCACACTTCCAGCTGGAGCCGGAGGATGTCTACATTGTGAAGAACAAGGCAGTGAGCCTGGCCTGCCGTGCCACCCCTGCCACGCAGATCTACTTCAAGTGCAACGGCGAGTGGGTGCACCAAGGTGACCACGTCACGCAGCACAGCACCGACCGCAGCACTGGTGAGCGCCAGCAGGAGCGGCGGTGCCAGCCCCGCTCCTGGGAAGCCACGTGTGCCACTCTTGGCGGGGCTTGCCTGGGGCTGGGGCAGCAGGGACAGCTCCTGGCATACCAGTGTGACGTGCCACTGTCCGGTCCCAGGGCTGCCAGTGATGGAAGTGCGCATCGAGGTCACCCGTCAGCAAGTGGAGAAGATCTTTGGGCTGGAGGAGTACTGGTGCCAGTGCGTGGCCTGGAGCTCCTCCGGCACCACCAAGAGCCAAAAGGCTTTCGTGCGCATCGCCTGTGAGTGTCTGCAGGTGTCTGGACAGAGTGCGGGGCGCCGGCCCCAGCCCCCCATCTCACCCCTGTGCCTCCCCAGATCTGCGCAAGAACTTCGAGCAGGAGCCGACAGCCAGGGAGGTCTCCATTGAGCAGGGCATCGTGCTGCCCTGCCGCCCTCCCGAGGGCATCCCCCCCGCCGAGGTGGGTCCCCGCAGCTGGGTAGGACAGGATGTGGCTGAGGATCCCCCTCACCCAGGGCGATGATGTGTGCGATCCCAGGCAGGCACCCAGTGACCTCCCTGTGCCCTACAGGTGGAGTGGCTGCGCAACGAGGAGCTGGTGGACCCGGAACTGGATGCCAACGTCTACGTGACGCCAGAGCACAGCCTGGTGCTGCGTCAGGCCCGCCTGGCCGACACCGCCAACTACACCTGCGTGGCTAAAAACATCGTGGCCCGTCGCCGCAGCGCCTCTGCTGCCATCATTGTCTACGGTATGGCCCCTCCACGCCAGTCCCCACCATGCTGCCCTGGTGTCACTCTCCCTGTCCTGTCCCTCCCTGCGTCCCCTTAGTGGCAGGGTGCTGACAGGTCCCTCTCCACCCAGTGAACGGCGGCTGGTCGACGTGGACACAGTGGTCAGGCTGCAGCACCAGCTGTGGACGGGGCTGGCAGAAGCGGAGCCGGACGTGCACCAACCCCACACCCCTCAATGGGGGTGCTTTCTGTGAGGGCCAAAATGTGCAGAAAACCGCCTGCACCACCCTCTGCCCAGGTACCTGCCCTGCTCAGGGCGCCGCCACTGCCCCGTCGTGCCGATGCTGCACTCCCCACTGCGCCCATTGCAGTCCCAGTCCCCACCAGATGTCTTGTCCTCCAATTCCCCTGTGTGTCCGTCTCTGCCGGCCCCGGGGCAGGGAAAAGGGGTGGCAGCAGGGCGCTGACCCCAGGCTGTGCCTGCAGTGGATGGCGCCTGGTCGGAGTGGAGCAAATGGTCGGAGTGCGGGGCCGAATGCACCCACTGGCGCAGCCGCGAGTGCTCGGAGCCAGCGCCACGCAACGGAGGCCGGGATTGCCACGGCCCCGAGCTGGACACCCGTAACTGCACCTCTGAGCTCTGCACCCACGGTGAGCACGGCGGGGTTGGCAGGGCTGTCCCCTGGGAGAGGGGACCGGGGAGAGACCATGTGTGCTGATGGCCTGCCCCACACAGCTGCCCCCGGCGCAGAGGACGTAGCACTGTACGTGGGGCTGGTGGCCGTGGCCGTGTGCCTGGTGCTGCTGCTGCTGGTGGGGGTGCTGGTGTACTGCCGCAAGAAGGGGGGTCTGGATGCTGATGTGGCCGATTCCTCCATCCTCACTGCCGGCTTCCAGCCCGTCAGCATCAAACCCAGCAAGGCTGGTGAGTGAGCGTTGCAGGGATAGTGCACCCACACTGGGACATGGTGTCCCTTGGACCTGCAGGTGGCCAAACCTGTCAGGGGATCTCTGAGCAGGGGCTGTTTGCTACAGGGCACCCCTGGGTGGGGTTCTGTGCACTGTGGGGTCCTTGGTCTTGAGCTGATTCTTTGCCTTATGGCATCCCTGACCTAGGGACAGGAACTCTGCATCTTAGAGTCCCTGACTGCGGGGTCAGTGCTCTGTGCCACATAGGGTCAGATCCCCAGGGTGGTGGCTGTGTCCTATGGGCTCCTCACTATGGGGCAGGGACTGTGTGCCCCATGCCCTCTCAAGCTGACTGTGCCCGTGTACCATTGCTGGGGACGCCCTGTTTCCGCCTTGCCCCGGCACCACAGTCGCTTGCTCTGTGCTGCAGACAACCCCAGCCTGCTCACCATCCAGCCAGACCTCAGCACCACCACCATGACCTACCAGGGCTCGCTCTGCCCACGCCAGGACGGCCCTGCCAAGCTCCAGCTGCCCAATGGGCACCTGCTGAGCCCGCTGGGTGCTGGACGGCACACGCTGCACCACAGCTCGCCCGCCGCCGAGGGTGCTGACTTCGTGGCCCGGCTCTCCACACAGAGCTACTTCCGCTCCCTGCCCCGCGGCACCAACAACATGGCCTATGGCACCTTCAACTTCTTGGGGGGGCGGCTCATGATCCCCAACACAGGTACAGCGGGGTGGGGATTCCAGAGCACTGCCCAGGCCAGGCAGGGTCCTCATGGGGCTCACCCCCTGCCTGCACCCCCATTCCCACCCAGGGATCAGCCTGCTCATCCCACCCGATGCTATCCCACGGGGGAAGATCTATGAGGTCTACCTGACCCTGCACAAGCAGGAGGAGGTGAGGTAGGTGCCGGGGCTGCTGGGGCACGGGGCTGTTGGAGGGGGTTCTGTCCTGACTCGGCTCCCCCATCGCTGGCCCAGGCTGCCCCTGGCTGGCTGCCAGACACTGCTGAGCCCCATCGTCAGCTGTGGCCCCCCCGGGGTCCTGCTCACCCGCCCCGCCATCCTGACCATGGGGCACTGCGTGGAAGCCAGTGCTGAGAACTGGAGCATCCGGCTGAAGAAGCAGTCGTGCGAGGGCACGTGGGAGGTGAGCAGGGGCGAGGGGTTGCAGGGATGGAGGAGGGACGGCCACGGCTGAGCTGCATCTCTGCCTGGGTGCCGTAGGACGTGCTGCAGCTGGGCGCTGAGCCGTGCACAGAGCTGTACTACTGCCAGCTGGAAGCGCAGGCTTGCTACGTGTTCACAGAGCAGCTGGGGCGCTTTGCCCTGGTCGGGGAGTCCCTCAGCATGGCGGCCTCCAAGCGCCTCAAGCTGGTCCTGTTCGCGCCAGCCGCCTGCCCCTCGCTGGAGTACAACATCCGTGTCTACTGCCTCAGTGACACCCAGGACGTCCTCAAGGTACCGGGGTCCCCAACCTGCCCATCCCGGCTTGGAGAGAGAGCTGTGCTCCTGGTGTGACTGCTGTTTGTGCTGGCAGGAGGTGATCCAGCTGGAGAAGCAGCTGGGAGGGCAGCTGATCGGAGCCCCCCGGGTGCTGCACTTCAAGGACAGCTACCACAACCTGCGCCTCTCCATCCATGATATGCCCAGCTCCCTCTGGAAGAGCAAGCTCCTCGCCAGCTACCAGGTGAGGAGGCTGGCCGGTGTGTGGGGATGGGGTTAGAGGTGGAGGGAGGTGTCCCTGCCACTCTGACACACCCAGCTCTGTCACCTCACTGCAGGAGATCCCCTTCTACCACATCTGGAGCGGGCTGCAGCCCTTCCTGCACTGCACCTTCACTCTGGAGCGCCTGAGCACCAGCACCTGTGAGCTGGCCTGCAAGATCTGGGTCTGGCAGGTGGAGGGAGATGGGCAGAGCTTCACTGTCAACTTCAACATTGCCAAGGTGAGGGCAGGACCGGGCCATTCCTGGGGGTGCCCATAGGATTGCCTCACATCCTTTTCTCTCCCTGCTTGTGCTCTCTCCCAGGACACAAGGTTTTCAGACTGGCTGGTCCCCGACGAGGTGGGCACCCCAGCTCTGGTGGGCCCCAGTGCCTTCAAGATCCCCTTCCTCATCCGCCAAAAGATCATCAGCAGCCTGGACCCGCCGGGCACACGGGGAGCCGACTGGAGGACACTGGCACAAAAGCTCAACCTTGATAGGTAATGCAGACTGAGGATAGTGCTGGGGATGGGGTGGTATGGTGGATGGGGGCAGGGGTTCAGGCCTCATCCTGCTCCTATGGATGGATGCTGGAATGCTGTGAGATCCCAGTAGAGGGCTGCTGAACAAGGTGAGGTTAGCACGGGGTTGATAATGGGATGTGGAGCTACCTCTGTGCCCTGACGTGGTCCCTCCGTCCCTTTCCAGCCATCTCAGCTTCTTCGCCTCGAAGGCCAGTCCCACAGCCATGATCCTCAACTTGTGGGAAGCACGGCACTTCCCCAATGGCAACCTCTCCCAGCTGGCTGCCGCCGTGGCCGAGGTCGGCAAGCAGGACGGTGCCCTCTTCTCCGAGGCTGAGTGCTGAGCATGGCGGGTCCCAGGGGACCACCACCGTGGGGCTAAGGGGGGCCCTGGCTGGCCCACCAGGCTTCTCCTGCCCCACAGCACACGAGGAGGGCTACCTGGCCCCCTTGGAAGGGCAGGATGCTCCTGCCCCGTGGCAGTCAGGCCCCTCCAGCACTGTGGCAGCGGGACTCAGCCCAGCCCTGGGGGTCCCAGAGCCCCATGGTGGGGGACTGGGGGGGCACTGGGTGTGCGTCGTGCGTGCGGTGCCGTCGTGGTGTCTGCGTGTGGGGCCAGGCGGCCCCGGGCCCCGTGCCGTGTTGTGTAAAGCCCGTTTTTTTAATTCTGTATTAAGTGCATTCAAGTATTTACACTTGGCCTTATGTACATAGCGGTGCCGCGGGCGGGGGGTCTGCCGGACGTGAATGTAAATAAATTCTATATATATTGCTACGTGGGGCTGTGCCCGGCCATGCGCTGCCCCACGCCCCCCAGGGTACCCCCAGAAGATGGAGGTGCAGACCAAAGAGCTTTATTGGAGTGGTGGCTATTCCATGGCATTGGCAGCACGAGAGGCCACAGCTGCCACGAGCGCGGCCCCTTTCCCTGAGCCATCCTCTGACAGCAGGAAGGTCACATTGCACTTGGGTGCCAGGTCCTTCAGTGTCTTCTGGAGGTTGCTGGAGAAGCTAGGCAGGACAGAAAGGGAGGGTGAGGACTGACGCTCCGACCCTATGCACACCATGCCACCCACCACAGACCCCTTCATAGGGCAAGGATGCCCCATGGGTGCCTGCTGCCTCACTCACCAGGGGTGCAGCTTGTACAAGGTGCCATCCACCCCAACAGTGACAGACAGTTGGTCCAGGCCTCGGCTCTCCCGCATCTTCTCCACCACAGCAGCCAAGCCAGCAGCGCAGAGCTGGGCCGCGCGCAGGGACACGGTCTGGCACACCTCCCGCATCAGCGCGCTGTCCTCGAAGGTGGCATCGAGCTCCAGTTCGTTCAGAATGGCCCGTATCTGCCCCAGGGCCAGTCCATTGCTGCTCCGGACCAGTGCCACTGTTAGCAGCAGAGTTCCCAACCCCATCACTGTCCCCATCCCTTAAGCATCACCTTGTCTGTGCCATGTCAGTGTAACCTGGCTTCTCTCCCGGTGTTCTGATACCCCCACCCTGGATTCAGGGAGCCCATGGAAGCTCAACACTCACAGCTCAATGGTAGAGAGGAACTTGGTCTTGAAGATGTCCTTGGTCTGGAGTTTGGGGCAGGGTTTTCCTTGGAACAAGAGCTGTTTCTCTACCATTACCATCAGGATCTGACGCACGATCTCTCCCAGGTACATGCCGCTGATGAGCTTCTCAAACCTACCCAAGGCACAGCCTCAGCTAGGCACAGCCATCCGCTCCCAGCCCCCTCTGCCCCAGGGCCCTCACCCACCTCTGCTTGCCCGGGTTGATGGTGCTTTCGTCCACCACTTTGTCGAAGTGGGTGAAGAGATGGTCTAGGCAGCCATTGTCCCCAAAGGCCCCCCACTCCATGTTGATGCACATGCGGCCCTCGTCCCCCTCCACAGTGCCCACGTTCCTCATCTCCTCCATGTAACAGGCATTGGTCCCTGTCCCTGCAGGCCCCATGCTGGTGTCACCCCATCACACTTCTGGCAGAGGCACGTGGCCATGCCATGTGGGGCAGAGGGGTGGTGAGGAAATGGGGGATCTCCTGGATGCAGAGGTGCACCTCACCCACAATGAGGCCGATTTCACATCTGGGGTCATCATAACCACAGGCCATCATGGTTCCCACTGTGTCGTTGACCAGAGCCACCACCTGCATCCCTAAGTGCTGCCAAATAGGAGATGAGAACACGTGGTCTAGTGGCACCCAGATAGTTCCTGGGGCTGATACTGCCTGAATGCAGGTCCCCCTACCTTGGGGACAGGGACAGGCCACCAAACATTCCCTACCCGTTTGCGCTGGGCAGCATCCCGCAGCAGCTGGACAATGTCCTCTCCCACGCAGCCTGAGGCGCTGAAGCCTTTGGTCCAGGTCAGCAGCAATGCCTGCAAGAGTGGCAGATCAGGGGCCAGGGCAGCACACATCCTGAGGTCCTTCCCACCGTCCTGGTGCTGGAGTCACCCCCTCACCTTATCCAGGCCCACTTGCTTGCAGGGGAAGGAGAAGGTGAAGCCGAGAGGCAGCATGTGTGTCACCAGCTTCTGCTTCATCTGGAAGTCTATGATGCAGTCCAGGATGTGGTCAAAGAGCTGTGGATAGTGGCCATTGTCAGCATGGCCTAGGTTGGGGCAATGCTGGGGGGGCCTTTCCCAGCCCCATCATGGCCATAGGGAGGCAATGCCCACACCCTCGCCCCAGCCACTGGTCACAAGTCCTCAGCCTCACCTCCTCACCAGTGCCCTGCATGATGGCAGCTGGGATGACGTAGATCTCGCTGGCCATGCTGATGCCCTCCTCTGCCACACGAACCACCAGCACACGGAAATTGGTCCCACCCAAGTCCAGTGCCAGGAAGTCGCCTTGCTCTGCAGGGAGCCAGCGCAGTGCATTAGCAGGGCCACAGCCTGCTCAGCACCGCATTGCCAGTGTCCCTGTCCCTTACCAGTGCCATCAGGTGTGTGAGAAACATAAGTGGGCAGCATGCGGACAGAGGCAGTGGCATTGGTCTCCTTACACAGGCCGCGGTCCATCTCCTGCCTCATCAGTGCCTGCACTTTCTCCAGGTCATCACGGCTGAGCCGTAGCGGGGCCAGCACCTCGTCCACCGCACGGCGCTGGGCTGCCAGGCGCAAAGCCACTGCTGTCACCATGGCTGCCCCTCGCCCAGAGCCATCTCTCGAGGGCACGAGGATGGCCATGCACTCAGGGGACAGTAACCTTGACACATTCAGCAGGATCTCCTCAAACCTGCCGAGGATGAAGAGGATAGCATGGGCTAGGTGTGTGAGGCACCCCACTGGGGTAGCACCCCACTGGGAGCCCTGCGTTCCTCATCACCTGGGGTAGCCCGTGAACAATTCTCCTTCCACCCCCACGTTGACCATGAGCGCATCCAGTTCCCGGGTCTGGCACATGTAGCTGAGAATGGCAGACAGCCCAGTGGCGTGGAGTGAGGCAGCACGCACCATCACTGCCCGGCAGATCTGCTGCACCCGGCCGCAATCCCGCTCACTTGGCTGCAGCCCCAGAACCTCCAGAATCCTCTTAACTTCAGTTATGCCGTCCTCATTGCTAGAAGGCAGATCACAGCCTTGCAGCAACCTGCAGGTTCACCAGCCTGCAGCCAGGAACACCCATCCATCACACCCCATCCTCCCATCCGCGGCAGCTCCTGGTCCTCAGACACTCACTTGACGATCTCCAGAACATGCTGCATTGTTAACACTCCCTTCTCCTTCAGGACAGCAGCATTGGTCCCCGTGAAGATAGCTTTCTCAGCAGTCAGGGCAATCAGTGCGTGCCTGACAATCTCCCCTATGTACAGGGTGCCCACCATCTTCTCAAACCTGCATGGGTTTGAGCCCACATGGGAGTTAGTCATGCCTCCCTAGCAGCACCCCTTGGCTCTTTAAGAGCACCCAGGAGCATTGCAGGGGAATGTGTGCTCCTGTTGGTGGAGCCTGACATGCTTAGGGATAGATGGGGAGCCTGTCCTTTCTGGGGGAGACGGAGCACCTCTTCTCCCCAGGGTTGGAAGATTCCTGATCCACAGATTGATCATAGGGTGTGAAGATGTCATTCAGGGTGCCGTCATCCCCAAACCAGCCCCACTCAGTGTTGACACACATCCGCCCGCTGGTCTCCTTTGCTGTTTCCACCAGGTATGCCTCGGCCATGAAGCAACAGTTGGAGCCCTTGTCTGCAGGAGTGATGGGGCTGAGCACCAGCACGGCCCCCCAGACCCACCACCATGGCACACGCGATGCCCACGTCTCACCTGCAACTATGGCGACCTCACAGGCTCTCCCCTCTATGCTGCAGGTCATCATGGTGCCCACAGTGTCATTAATCAGGGCAACAACTTGCACACGGTAGGGCTGTCCAGGAGTAGATTGAGAGGATTTCCTGCCCCTCCATGAGGACAGCCAAGCACCACCGGTCTCATTGGCCTCCTCCTCACCCTGCTTTTTCTGGTTCATCTGCTTATCAATGGCTGCCTGCAGCAGCTGCACCACGTCCTTCCCCACCACGCCACTGCAGCTGAAGCCCTTGGACCAGAAAAGGAGTTCTGCCTGTGGAGAGTACGCGGCAGAGCCATTGACCTCTGGTGTACCACCACCTCTGCCCACTGCTGCTGTGCTGTGCTGTGGTCACAGCCTGGGACAGGGCTCTCCCCCTCACCTTGTCCAGCTGTGTCTGCCGGCAGCTGAAGGGAAACACAAATCCCAAGGGGAGGTACAGCTCAGAGCCGTTGGTGTCAGAGCTGTTGGTGTCAGAGCTGATGGTCTCGGCCAGAAAATGGGACACGCATTGTGCAATGAAGTCAAAGAGCTGCAAAGTCATGACTGAGGGTAAGGGCTGCTTGCCTTGCTCAGTACCCAGGCTGTGGAAGGCAGCCTTGACCTCCAACACCAGCCCGGAGCCCTGCTGAGCCTCTGTGATGCTGGGCAGCCCAGCACCAGCCACCCTTTGCCATGGCCTCCTCATACCGCTTCCCCCTCGCCCTGCATGATGCCCTCTGGCATGTCAAAGATCTTGTACATCATTTGGGGGCTCATGTTTCCATCTCCGTAGAGGGTCACCAGCAGGGTCCGAACCTGGTTCTGGCACAGCTCCACCACCAGAAAGTTGCCCTTCTCTATGGGGGAACAGAGGCAGTGTCAGGCAGAGATTTTCCCTGTGGCAGATCTCCCAAAATCTGCTCCTTGCCCTGTCCCAGGGACAGTCACTCATGGGGGAAACTCCTGAGAGCCTGAAACTCTCAGAGGGGCCAAGGGAACAAGGTTCTGGCTACTGCCCCTGCACTGGGTAGTGGCAGAGGAGAAGCTTATGGACCCCATAACTAATCTAAGAGGGTTTACCCCTCCCAGCACCCCCAGGGTAAACTCCAGGGAGATGTGCATGGCTGCCAACAGCAGAACAGCTCATCCTCAGGCTGGGCTGCCTCACCAGTGCCATTGGGAGTGGAGCAGATGTAGGTGGGCAGCATCCGCACTTTGGCCTGTGCGTGTGACTGGCGGCTCAGCCCCTTGCACATGTCCTGCATCATGTGGCCCTTCATAACATGCAGCCTCTCCAGTGGGATGACGAGTGAATGCAGGGCTCGTTGTATCTGGGGATGGTGCATTAGGACAGAGATGCAGAGGCTAAGGGCAGGGAATGACTGGAGCAGGGATGGGCCTTACCGGTGTGGTTGTGGAGCTATCATGGAGCTGGTTCTGAGTGTTTCCTAAGAACCTGCATGGAGGGAGGTGGCATGTCACCCACTGAGCTCTGGCCTGCAGGACAGGAGAAATGCCTGCCCTTGTCCAGGCACACAGTGGGGCTGGGGGGGCCTGTAGCCAGCTCTGCTCCCACCTGCTGTCTACCTCCATGCTCCATGAGGGGTCCATACTTTCATCCTTGTGCACTAGCTTCACACTGCCTCTGCGGTCGTGGAGGAGGCAGGTCTGCCCCATCACGGTCATAGGGCCGAGCATGGGGGCGGTGGTAGAAGAGGGTCCCTGCAATCTGCAAGAGGCCAGAGGCTGATATCTCCCCCCTGCAGCAGCCTGAGGGATCTGGGGAAGCTGCGCCGCCCCATCCCCGGCCCCGCAGCGGGCTCCGCGGGGCAGGAGCCGCTCACTGGCCCACGTACCGGCTGTCCTGCTCCTGCGCGCCCAGACTCCGCCTTTGGCCCGCTCTGACCGCCGCGCCGAACCGGCCGTCCTGGGACCCGGGCCGGCTGCTGCGACTGTCCATGGCGGCGGGGCAGGGGCCGGTGTGTGGGGCCAGTGGTGTGTGGGGCCGGTGTATGGGGCCTGTGTGCGGGCCCGGTGGTGTGCGGGCCCGGTAGTGCGGGCCCGGTGGTGTGGGGCCGGTGTGGGCCTGTGTGCGGGCCCGGTGTTGCGGGCCGGTGTGCGGGCCCGGTGGTGCGGGCCGGTGTGCGGGCCCGGTGTATGGGGCCGGTGTGCGGGCCCGGTGGTGTAGGCCCGGTGTGGGGCCGGTGTATGGGGCCGGTGGTGTAGGCCGGTGTGCGGGCCCGGTGTATGGGGCCGGTGTGGGCCCGGTGGTGCGGGCCGGTGTTGTGGGCCGGTGTGCGGGCCCGGTGTATGGGGCCGGTGCGGGCCCGGTGGTGCGGGCCGGTGGTGCGGGCCGGTGGTGCGGGCCGGTGGTGCGAGCCCGGTGTATGGGGCCGGTGTGGGCCCGGTGGTGCGGGCCCGGTGTATGGGGCCGGTGCGGGCCCGGTGGTGCGGGCCGGTGGTGCGGGCCGGTGTGCGGGCCGGTGTATGGGGCCGGTGTGGGCCCGGTGTGGGCCCGGTGTATGGGGCCGGTGGCCGGGGCCGCTCTGCGGGGCCGTTGCCGCCGCCGTCCCCTGGCAACAGCCGCGCCCCGCGCCGCCATTGGTCGGCGCGCCGCGAGCCGGCCCCGGCGCGGCCAATGAGCGGCGGCGCTGCGGGCCCCGCCCGCGGGAGGGGCCGCTCCGCGCTCCCGGCCGGGCGGCAGCGCGGCCCCAAGCCCGGCGTTTAACGAGCCCGCACCGGCTCGTCCCGTTAATTAGACACGGGTCGCCCTCCCTCGTTCCCCGTGAGGATGCTCTCGCAGAGCGGATCCCTCCAAGGCTCGGTACGAGGCAGGCAAAGCCCCGCTGCCCCGGGGAGCGGGCGTACGGCCAAGCCGCCTAGGGACGGGGAAAGCCACCAAGGACACGGGGACACCGCGGCCGTGGCTCCTCCGGTCCTTGCATCCGCTGACTGCGGCTGTCAGCTGGCACCAAGGTGCCCTCTGCCAGTCCCGGCTGGGAATGTTAGTGCTGTGCTGCTGCAGCCCTCTGCCCCGAGCCCCCGCACCAACCCCAGCTCCAGGAGAGGTCGGGGAAGCGTGGTTTGGGACCCACCGTCTGCTGCTCCTCCTCTCCTCCCACAAGTGCCCTCCCCTTCCCCAGAGAAAGCCAGCACAGCTCTGCCGTGGTGCTGCAGTTTCATAAAAACATACATAAATATATTTCCATTTCTGTAAGAGAGAGCAAAGCTGCACAGGCACCTATAAAACACACAGTCACTTCTCCACCCAGCGCTCCCAGAACAGATAGTATAAAACATATAAAAGGGGAGCAGGAGACAAAGGCTGCAGGTGAAGCAGGGGTACAGTGCCAAGAAGACCCTCGCTGGGGCACAGGGAGCTGCCGGGGGTCCCTGCAGCATTGCCACCCTCAGAATTTGTGCCTTCTCCGGCGGCAGCCTTTGGGCCGTTGCTGGCTGCCTCCATGGAGAGCCATGGGCAGCTCTGAGTCCACCACACCATCCATGGCTTCCAAGGAGATGCTGGGTTTCGCAGGGGAGACATGGGAAGGACGGTGCTGAAGGGAGATGGGGCTGTCTGCTGACGGCTCCCCATCAGCAGCTGCGAGTGTGGGAGAGGACTGTTGGTCTCCTAATCCAGTGAGGGGAGTCTCCGCGTCAGCACCTGCAACAAAAGCACACGTCAGCCCTCCTGTGTGAGCCACGGGTGCTGCCAAGAGCACCTCTCCCCCCTCTTCTCCTCCTGCCCTTGGATCCATAGAGGGAAGCGCTGGTGCACAGACAGGGATAGGAGAAACCTCCCACATCCCCCAGGAAGCTGGACATGTCTTGGTGCAATGGTTCAGAGTATACCCCTATTCCTGCAAGGGCTGTGCGCCCTGGTGTGGGTCCAGTGGGCACAAATCCAGTGGGTACTGGCAGGAATGTGTGCTGGGGAATGCTGACAGCCAACTAAGGCCACAGCCTCCTGCTCTGCTCAGAAAGAACAGACCCGTCCAAGGGGAATTTACTCTCCCGGAACAGCCCAGGCTGAGGCAGGACTAAAAGGGGAGAGCTGGGAAAGAGCAGCCCTGACCCGACCAGGCTGGCACAGAAAGTTTTCCACCTTCAGACTTGCTCTCCGAGAGCTCCAGCATCCTGAGGAGTCCTCTCTTCTGCCTTCCAGTGTCCTGCCAAGGAGAAGAGAACCACCATCAGAGCACTGCCACAAGGGAACCCCTTAGCCAGGATGGCCTCGTGGGCACTTGTTCCCCCAGCCAGGCTGGGGACAAGAGGGACTGCTGCTTATCCAGGGCCTCCAGCCACCCGTGGGAAGGGCACTGCTCTGTGCCCAGCCCATGTTCAAACAGAGGCAGCAAAGAGCAGCTAATCAAGCAGAACCTGGTAAAGAAGGAGGCCAGGGTACAGGATGCCAACCTCAAGCCCAGCCAGCAAGCACAGGGCTGTGATAAATGGGGGCATCAGGGGCTCTGACACAGCTGGAACACATCACCCAGCACTGCATGTCCAAAAGCAGAGTGGGACAAGTCTGCCCTTGTGCTTGATGCTGGAGGGAAGGGCCTTCAGGGCACTGCCAGGCAAGGAACCCGTGCCCTCTCTCTGCCCCTGGGAAGATGCAGCCATGCTGGTCACACATACTAGAGGAAGACCACTTGGTGTGGCTGCTTTGAGGCTCTCTGGCCCAGCAAAGTCCCCTCTCCTGGCTGCTCTCTGCCCCCAGAACTGCTCTGGAAAGCACTGGCATCCTGGCTGTGGCAATGGAGCTGCAAATCACCCCAAAATGGGCTATTGCAGGAAACTGCAAGCCCAATTGTGCCATTAGGAAGCTTTGCAATGGCCCAGCCAATGCCCAGGCTTCCCCAGTGAGCTGCCACCCCAGCAAAAGACAGGGCCAGAGGTAACAGAGCCTTGCTGAGCCTTCCCAAAGAGCCCCCTGGCTTCAGCATCTTTCCCCCATACCCCGTGCTCGTGCCTGCTTGCAGGACCCACACACCAGCCAGCTGTGGGGCACAGGGCAGAATCAAAGAGCCCCCACAGAGCTGGTCACATGCAGGAGAAGCCATGCCCTGCAGTACTCTGAACCACACAGTGCTTAGCTGAATCCCAGCCAAAATCATCCACCAGAAATCTCATCATTTGCATCTGAATCCCTAAAGGGCTGAGGTCTGTGATGGATTTAAGGGATTATACAAAACTAAGACATCATGTTGCATCTTCATGCCGTGAATCACATTTCTGAGCGCAGGCAGAGCTGCAGCACGAGGGTTTTGCCTGCAGGAGCCAGCAGGAAGACCTGGAAGGACTCTCTGTGCTCCCCTGAGACTGCCACAAGCAGGAAAAAGCAAGGTGGGGGCTAACACCTGGCGAGTGACTGTGAGCCAGATGCCACCCACGCTCCTACCTCCCACCTCCTCTAGCAAGGCACGTTCCCCACACCCAACACACCTCCAGCACACTCACTCCCCCACAGCTCTCCTGGGACGCTGCTGTTCGCTCCCAGCACTGAGCAATTTCCCCTGCTCTGGCTCTAAAGCCTTCCCCGTGGGAATGGGCTTGTGGATATCCGGATAGGTTTGTCATCCTGACGCTGGCCTCCACTCCATCGACATCCAGCCGAGGAAGGCTGCAGGACTGAGGCGTGCTGGCTGGCAGCAGCACAGCACTGGCTGCCTGCCCACTGGAGAGGCTGCTGGCAGCTCTGCTGGATTAGCTCACCCCTGGGACCGGCCGGTGCTCTCGCAGACCGGCGTGGGAAGGAGGGAGTGAGTTCTCTGTCCACAGTGGCCCACAGGGACAGGTAATCCTACATCAGGTCAGCTCATCCCTGCCAACCAGGGAAACAGCTCCTGCTGCCAACCCAGCCCCAGACCCAGCGCAAAGCAAAGGGGATGGTGTGCAGGGTCACCCCCTCACCTTGGCTCTTCGCAGCCTCCTGGTTCCCTGAGCTTGCCTAGCAGCCTGAAGGCAGCTGTCCACGTGCCTCTGATACTGCAGCAGTGGCACCAGTGACTTACAGAGGTAGCACTTCTCACACCTGCCAGGCAGCAAAGGACAGAGCACTGCATTAGGATTCACCCTGCACCAGGCTTCCAGACACCAGTGGTGACTCTCCTCTCCAGGCCATGCCATGGAGAAGACGTGTCACCAAATCCAGTCTCGCTCAGTGGGGTCAGGCTGGCACCAATCACAAAGACTCAGTGATTATCAGTTTTCCCTGCCTGTTCCTCTGTATCCTGCTGCTGCTGCAGCGGGACAGTAATCAAATCTGCTCATCTAACTATCTCAAACACCACTGATTTTTTCCCCAGACATAAAGCACCCTGTCAAAATCTACAGAAATGAAGTGCAAGGGCTTTGCAAAGGGGAGTTAAAATTCTGCCTGAAAAGTAAACCAAGTGTGTTAAATCAGAAAGACATTTTACCAGGGCTGGATGAACTTGTCTGACTAGTAAATCAAGCCTTTCTCTGCACTGTCTCCATTTTACATCATGCCATGCAGGGAGAGGAATTGCAGAGCACATGCTCCTGCTGGGGGGGTTGCCTCAGCCTGTTTCTCAAACCCCCTCATTTGGGTGGAAGATGCTCAGGCTCACGCAGGACAACTGAGTGTTCTTGGGAAAAAGATTATTCTGGGTGAAAGGAGATGAAGGTCAGGCATAGATTTGCACAGCTACACTCACTCCCACACCAGCTCTCAGCAGGGACTGTATCCTGCAGAAGAGGACATTGGCTCTTCAGGAGGGAAGCTGCATTCAGGAATGGACTATCTCCAAGAAGAGACAAATCCCCCAGGGACCAGCCCCAGCAACATAGTGTTCAGTTTGATAGTGGTACTCTCTGAGTGAAACACCCCAGGCTCTAAAATGCATATGGAGAGCCCCCATCGAGCAAAACTCTGCAGCACTTTTTCCCGTATTTTCTTTCCAGTCAGTACTGATTACCCAGATAATGTGTCTAAAC